TAGATTATAATGGAAAGAATTAAGTGTAAGGTCGGAGAATAGGATAAGCAGATGAACAAGAGGCTTTAGGAAAAGGTTAGGGGGTGTGTGGACAGGTGTTTACAGTGAATCATATAAGTGAACTGTATTTTGATAAGGGCTAAAGAGGTTCTTTGTGGGCATTTATGGAGTTGGAAAAAGGCGTATGACCAGGGTGGATGGGGGGCAAATGTGGCAGATGTTGCAAGTTGTTGCGTGTAGGAGGTAGGTTACTGAAAACAGTGAAGAGTTTTTACGAGGATAGTGAGGCTCAATTAGAGTATGTAGGAAAGAGGGAAATTTTTTCCCAGTAAAAGTAGGCCTTAGACAGGATGTGTGATGTCAACCGTGGTTGTTTAATAATTTATAGATGGGGTTGTAAGAGAAGTAAAAAGCGAGGGTCTTGGCAAGAGGCGTGGAGTTAAAAGATAAAGAATCACACACAAAGTGGGAGTTGTCACAAACTGCTCTTTGCTGATGACACTGTGCTCTTGGGAGATTTTGAAGAGAAGTTGCGAGATTGGTGGATGAATTTGGATAGGTGTGCAAAAGAAGAAAATTAAAGGTGATACAGGAAAGAGTAAGGTTATGAGATAACAAAAAGATTAGGGGATGAAAGATTGAATATCAGATTGGAGGGAGAGAGTTGGAGGAGGTGAACGTATTCAGATATTTGGGAGTGGACGTGTCAGCGGATGGGTCTATGAAAGAATGAGGTGAAACATAGAATTGATGAGGGAAAAAGAGTGGAGTTGGTGCACTTAGGAGTCTGTGGAGACAAAGAACTTTGTCCTTGGAGGCAAAGAGGGGAAAAGTATGAGGGGTATAGTTTTACCAACGCTCTTATATGGGTGTGAAAACGTGGGTGATGAATGTTGCAGCGAGGAGAAGGTGGAGGCAGTGGAGATGTCATGTCTGAGGGCAAAGTTGTGGTGTGAATATAATGCAGAGAATTTGTAGTTTGGAAGTTAGGAGGAGGTGCGGGATTACCAAAACTGTTGTCCAGAGGGCTGAGGAAGGGTTGTTAGGTGGGTTTGGACATGTAAAAGAGAAAGGAGCGAAAACAGAATGACTTCAAGAGTGTATCAGTCTGTAGTGGAAGGAAGGCGGGGGGAGGGGTCGGGCCTAGGAAGGGTTGGAGGGAGGGGGGTTTAAAAGGGGGTTTTGTGTGCGAGGGGCTTGGACTTCCAGCAGGCATGGCGTGAGCGTGTTTGATAGGAGTGAATGGAGACAATGGTTTTTAATACTTGACGTGCTGTTGGAGTGTGAGCAAAGTAACATTTATGAAGGGATTCAGGGAAACCGGCAGGCCGGACTTGAGTCCTGGAGATGGGGTACAGTGCCCGC